GTGAATCAGTGAGTTGTTCTTGTAATTCCGTTTTGAATTGCTCGCTGAGCATGTTTTGGCTTTTCTGGCGTTCAGGCTGAAGCCTCCGCCAGAAGAACGGGCTGGAAGACCGTGCCAATCGCTCTATATAGCAAGAGATAGACTACAACCAATTTCTAAACTGGTGACAGTTGGACGATGCACTAGTGCATGTTAACACGTGCACCTCCATCTTAGGCACAAGCAATATCAGAGAGAGTTGATAACTTGAAATCCTGGGCTGTTAAGGTCATCAGTGTGTAACTCAGAACGGCTAGAAAAACGTACTTTCGTTTCCATTATTAGGTCGATCGCTACACATTAAGTGCGTACCATTTGGGGAGATCTGAGCGTTGATGATAACGTCATTCAGCTATATATAGGATATCATAGCGAGTTCTCAAGACCTTAAGAATTGAAGACTACTATGCCTAGCCGATTCGTTGCGGAGGTCCTGTTAGATTAGTTAAAACAGCTGTTACCTACAGACATCAAGGCTTACCTAAATACACAAGCTCTTCCCGATCGTTTAGACCACCCCTTGTGGGTAGGCCGACAATCGTTTAGTATGAGATTTTCTGAATTCTTACCAGTGGTCGGTTCGCAATCGTGCACAGAGAGCTCGCTACTTGATCCTCCATCCCAACATGTGGCGGATTACGTCTGTCTGTTTCTGATGGTGGAAGGGTCGCGCTGTGCATCGGTTCAGAAGCGCGGACAGATGGGCAGCAACTAAATCGTGTTGGTTATATCCTTCCTTATCCAGTGGTGACTGGGCCTCGACTGCACTGAAAAGTACTGATGAAAGATTGTTGCATATGCTGATCTAACTTCCAAACGTTATTTCTGTTATTTACTGGCAGTAGAACGTACCTTACATCACCTTTGGACCGCTTCTCTGTAGTTCGATGTTAAACGCAGCTTCGACCTCGGTTCGACCAACTTGGGACTACAGCCCATCAGAAACCTGAATTTTCGAGACCCAATAAATGCAGATTGCTTATTTGTCGTTTTGCTTTCAACCGTCGTCTCTGCTGTTCTTCCGTTGTTTACACTGGCCTCTTTTGACGCCGGAAATAAATGCGAACACTGCACAACTAATTTCATAGACAGAGTGTTAACAACAGTGTAACCTTCATTTAGTCTCCAGAAGGAACGGTCATCTGAGGCGGCTATAGTTAACCCATTTTTGGTGGTAGACAATGCGCTTTAAACTTCCAGTTTAGCCTTGGGACCGATTTCATGCAAAAATTCT